TGTGGTATATGAGCGGTTCGCCATCACTTATCCCTACGGAAGTGCCCACCGACGAGTATATGTCTGACAACCCAGACATCAGTATGCCGGTGGAAGGCGAAGGCAACGGGCTTAGTGAATTGGCCACCCAGAGTACCGGCCTTACTTTGCCCACCTCGGGCGCTGCCGCCTCAGGTTTGCCGACACTAGCAGAAGTCTTCAACCCTGCAAGTGTTTCGCCCTTCATGTCTTTTTCCGTCTGTGTTTGCACCCACAGTGAACTTGAGTCAAGACACTAGCACTCTCTACCAACAGTACATCCAAGTGCGAAGCCCGAGGAGTTCATCTACGGCGGCTCCATTCTCTACGGCTCTACGGAACGTGAGAGCAAGCGTGCTCGCAAGAATCAGCGCCTCATCGACATTGAGCGGAATGAAGTCGAAGCAGCACGCGGAGCCGCTAACATTCGCACCTGGGGCGATACAATCGCCAACCCTTCGGACATGCTCGACTGCTCGACTACCCCATCCACGACTACTGGCAATCAAGCCCGTTGAAAGACGAGGCCGCAAAGTATCCCGTGGTGAACCAGGCCGACATGACCAAAGGTTTAGCGAAGCCTCGTGTGAATGAGAAGGTCCGGAACTACATGACCGGACTCATCTGCGGCAACTTCATCGACAAAGGCGACAGGCATCGCCTTCACTCGTGGGACGGGCCGTGGGTGCTTTTGGGAGAGGTTTTGGAAGTCGTGAATCGTGTCAAGGAGGTCGACTTCGGGGTTGGGACATTCCTCGAGTTGATGTGCCACGACAATAAAGGACGGCTTTCCTTCCGTGGCCCCATTGACGCGGCGGCTGATACCATCAGCCAGCCTGCCTTTCCTGTCTATGTGAGGTGCGTTCACGGGCATCACGAGAACCTCGCCCAGACCTTCGGCGACGAGGACATCGCAGTGGGGTGGCTCAGTACCTTTACAGAGGCTGAGTTGGTCGATAGGAATGAAGCCGTCCGAGAGGACAGGCCGATCATCCCGCTCGACAAAGCGCCGTGCCGTTTGTATCACAGGACCACCCGAGATGCTGCGTTTTCGATTTTGAGCGACAGCCTCATTCCAGGTTATGGACGGTCTGGGAAGGCGCACGCCTACTTTAGTGGTGGGTACTCCACTTGAGGACGCCAAGGTCCGTTCCGGTGTGCGTGCAAGCCTTCCGATTGAGATTACCTTCGACACCAAAGAAATCTTGGACGCAGGGTGCGAAGTCTTTCTCACTGAATCGGAAGGTTACCTCACCTCCAGCCCTGTCCCAGGCCATTGCATCCTCTTTATCAACGACGACTCGAAGGACCTCACTTTGTGGGCAAGGTCCGGTGGTGTGGTTGACGAAGGAACGGGAGCAGGCGATGAAAGCCCGGCGAAAGCCGAGGCCGAGGTTCCCATCGTTATCGAGGACGAACCTGCATCATCATCTGCCCGCGTGTTCAGGTCTGATTTGCATTTCACGATTCAGCCTGAACATCATGCGCCTCCTGTTCCCAGTGAACCCCACGCGGCCGAACGACCCCAACAGAGTGATGTTCCACCTTTGGATATTCTCATTGTTGAGCCTGAGGTTGTGAGTGATGATGGGCCAACGACCGAGGACACCACCAGGGGGGATGAGACGATGCCCTCCGTAACGGAGAGGCCGACTCCTCCTGATGGTACCTTAATCAAGCCCACCAACGTCACAACAACCACCGCCTACATCAACAACCAGACAGCAACGCTAGTTGTTCAGGATGTTGACGGCAATGCGATCGAAGCCACCGAGCAGCCCGTCTCTCCTCCAGTGCCTAGGTACTATTCTTGGAACCGAGGAGAAGCCCTCTGCTGCGTACCTCACCTATGTGGATTGCTGTCACTGCAAAGCTAAGTGCCTCGAAGGACAGCGTGTTTGCCTAATGTGTGGTGGACCGGTGAAACCAGGATCGCTGAAATCTCAGGCTCGCCGCACTGCCTTAGCGAGAGGTCGAGAAGCATTGATTGATGAGCTCGCTGCCGGTCAAGACGCACCTCGGGTCTTCCTCCAAAAGGTTCGAAGCGCGTCGAAAGACGTCGCCGGGAGAGGTAGGACTTCATTCGAGGGCGAAGCTATCCGGAAGGCCAAGCTCGCGCTGAACAAAGCAGTCAAGAAGGGCTTCACTTCCATCACGGACCGGTTCAATCGCGAGAACACCTATGCTTGCTCCCTCTCCGCCATCGGCCAGACCCGCCGCAGTACGAAGGTCATGGATTGCCTTACACGGGCTTATCTACCGGACCCAGGTCGTACGACGTCTCAGAGAAAGCTTGCGATTGGCTCAAATGCAATCGTCAATCAGAGCACTGCTTATCGACGAGACGAAGTACCCCACTCCAGGATCCTACATTTCCGTTGCACCGGGGACGATCTTTGCTCAGCGGGACTAACGTCCACGCCGCAAGACGCACCAGTTGCCTTTACATGGTACGGGGCCGTGCTATCGTTTCAAGGCTTCGTCAAAAACGTGTCGCGGTGCCCCACGGAGGTAAGACTTCAAACCTTCGGCCATGGCAACCTCGAGATCGCCGGTGATGATCAGGACACGATTGCTGCGAACCTGACGCAAATGCCCCAGGACGAGCTCACCTATGCCGATCAAGCAGCAGACGACACTGATCGCAAAACGGAGGCATCCCGTCGCGTGCAACCAAAGTATGCACAGCAGTACCCTCCTGGTCGCGAGCCCCAGCCCAAGGCCAAAGGCAAGGGCAAGGGAAAAGGAAAGGAGTCCAGCAAACAACTGCGCTAATCACTCGATGTCGGAAATCCGATTTCTCCAGCTCTATAGGAATGTTCGCCCGGCCTACACATCAACGCCTTTATTTTTAAAGCGGCTGCGCGGCGAACTTCCCAATGCGAGCTCTGCTGTCTGACAGCATAATACGTTTGAAAAAGGTAGAGTTGAGTTGCACTCCTCCCTAGGGCACCTTTCTGGTCGCACATGTACCAT